CAGCTTGGTCTCGAATGTGTAAATTATTTGATCCTAAGTGTCCTTGGTTAGGAAAGATGAGATCTTGGGATTTATTAGCTGGCTGTAAATTGCTCAGCCATCTGTTTCACTGTCTGTCTCAGTTTCCTCATGCCACTTGCCAAAGGATTTTCCTAGCTTCTTACTCTCTTGCCTCACTCTGACCTCTAGGCCTGAGAATGTAGTTGGACTCATCTTATCTTCCTCTTGAGAACAGTGACCCATATTTCTCTCAGTTGGTTACATTTTGGATTATGAGCAGAATTGCTGGCCCATAAGGACTCCAAACCTGGGATGATTTTCTCCAAAGCTCTGCCATTGATCATTCATAGCTACTATATTCCATTTTATTTCTTGAATATCACTTAAATTTTACGTAAAATAGAGTAGAGCATACTCTTTTCTGTCTACATGATTTTGTTGTATGATTGCTAATTTTATTGGCATTGATATAAAATCAGGAATGGGCTCTGCCTCTTTTTGACTGACTACATCATGTTCAATTAGCCTTGTCCATACTGAGATTTGAAACCGAGTACAGAATGTCAGTGCCTTTATGAATCACATTTGACTGCAGCAGTATGCCCATGAGACAGACCCAGTTCTTCTCTCTGAGTTTGATATTAGAATAAAATTCTATGTATTCTAGTTAGCAAATGAATTGTGGACCCAAAACATGGAATCGTGTAAATGTGCTAAGAAAAACATAGCAAGAATTGGCTCATTAAAAGTTAAATCTGCTGCAAAGCCACTTGCAAAATCAGCTCTTTGTATTGAGAAAAGCGAGAATGATCCTGGAATTATCAGATGGCACATGGTTTGCTGAAGTAAAGGTACAGTATGTGTTTCTCTCATTGTTACTGTGTTGTATTTTTGTGTCTTGCACATCTCCATAACTTTTAAAATCATCTCACAAAAAGGAAAATAAGGGAAGTACCCTTTTCCAACAAGTATGTTTCAAAGTGTAAATTCAAGCTTTTATTATCCTTTCTCTGTAGGTTGTTCTGGCTTTCTTACTATGACTGTTTGTAAGACTACTTTTGTTTTGTTTGGGGGGGGGGGTAAACAAAGCCTGTGATTCCCATTGTGTTCATTCATACTTGGATTGACTTTATAGAATGACAGCTCTGTATTGCAAAATTCAAGGCTGCAAGAATTACTAAAGAATTAACTGTTTTTGGACCAAAGACCTAGCATTACTCTAGTGGACTAGGAAGGTCAAGTCTCCCCCAAACCACCAGTTAGCCTAATGTACCATTCTCCCTCCTTTTCCTGTCACCTACAGAAAGGGCTGGTTACCTACCTACTTGTATCAGTGCTGTGCTGGGTGCTGTGTCTAGAGATGGCTTATAAAAGACTGGTGATTGCCTCAAATGCACCTAACAGCTCATGTAGGAAAATTAATTTTAATACTCTCTTTTCCATCATTGTGTCTTCTGCCTATTAGAATAATTAAAAAATTTTGAGAATCCAAATCCTCACCAGCAAGATAGTATAATGTACTAGTTTTTAAACGTGGTTTTGAAGTTCATTTTGCCTATTTCTTCAGGATTGCAGGTCTCATTCAAGACCACCCTGAAAGGTTTAGTCATCTTGAACAAATATCCTTTAAGCAGGAACCTGGACTATGATGCTTTCTCTGCATAAGTGGGGGTCGCATGGTATGAATGGTGAGGTTGTAGGTACCCCTCCCCCCCGTTCTCCAGGATGTGAGCCCTCGGATCTGACCAGCTCTGGCATACTTTGATTCTTGGGATGGTCAGTCATCGAAGGCCATCTTACTTTCCAAATCCTGTTGCAACATTGCCTTCCCTAAAAATCCTTCAACAAACATCTGCTGTGTGCCCCGATGTAAAACCATTCCTGGCCACATCTAGGCTGGGCTCCAGCAAGACCAGTCATTGTGAGAGCAAATGTGAGGCCTTCCTGCACCAACACTCCTCAGGCTTCCACTCCAGTGAATGTTGAATACTTGAATCTTTTCAAAACAGAGCGACAGTCTTATGTTTGCTTATATTTATGAATTCAAATACTGTCCTAAAAGTTTTATTTACATATATAGCATATTTTTGTATCTTAATTATGTTGGATGAAAATCATTTTTATAAGTCTTACCACAAGAATAGAGTTAGGTACCATGCTTCATTCTCCATTTCTATTTGATTCTTCCCCTAATTTAACTTTTATTGTCACCTACATATAACAATAGAGCAGGATGTCTCCTAGGGATTATAAGAAGTGCCCCATGATTATTGGTGTTAGACAAACATCATTTCAAAACAACAAACAAACACAAACCATTCCCAGGACAAGGGATACCAGAAGGAAAATTAATTTTAATATTCTCTTTTCCATCATTGTGTCTTCTGCCTATTAAAATAATTAAAACATTTTGAGAATTCAAATCCTCACCAGCAACATAGTGTAGTGATTAAGAGTGCAGATTCTGGATCCTTGCTCTGACAATCATTTGCTATAGGATCTCGGACAAGTCACTTAATCATTTTATGCCTCAGCTTATAAAACAGGGATTTATAATACTTCAGAATTTTCATGAGGATCAAATGAATTAATGCATGTAAAGATCTTGAAACAGTGCTTGTCACATAGTAAAACAATAAATGTGAGCTAGTGTAAAATTGTCTCCCTTATTAAATATCTATTTGACTTGTATATTTGGTGATTATTATTATCTATGGGAAATACTGGATTTAGATATTGGCTAACTTTCTTTTTGTAATGATATTAAAGTTTGTATTAAAGATGTTTCCCAGAGAAACAATTGCCTTCAGCATGATCAGAAGGAACATCGCTGCTGATTATGTGTAGGGGGCAGCAACATTCCATGACTGAGTTTAGGAAGGTCCTTTGGATGTGAGAGCAAAAAGGAGGCATAATGCTAAGGTCCTGGCATAGTAAACCATAGGGCAGGGTCAAAAATCATTTCAAAATGGTCCTGTTGGTGCCCATGGGAAGATGCTGATGTGGGTGAGGGTGCTAGTCTGCTTTCTCATTGTGATAATCTATTCATGTGTAGGGGAGGAAAATATGTTCATCTACCTTTATAGGTTCTGTTAGCTGTTCTATTAGCTAAATTGACAAAGACAGATTAACAGGAGAAAAACAAATTTAACCTCACAAAGACCCAAGGAAGGGCAAGTTGTGTCGGTGAGGGTTTTATGCCCCCCCCTTCCCCCCAAGTAATGCAATAAAGGCCTGGAGCTTCAAAGAGGAGGAGGGTAATTTATAGGACAATAAGAGCGGACGTTTGGTAATTAGATGTTTGCCCTGCCTATACAGGTAGGTCATTCAAGTAAAGGTTATCTTTGTTAATAGCTCTTTCTATGAGCCAGGCCCCCTAATTAAATTCTTCTAGGTAGTTAAGGGAAAAGTAAAAGTTTTTCTTGAATCCGTGGGATCTTGCCTTCCGCTCAAGAAATTCCACATGCCAAAGTGGCATATTTGGGGGTCACATACTCTGTTCCCTTGCAACTTCTTCCACTCCATTCTACCACACGATTCTTTCTTCTGTTCTCTCCAATCAGCAAGTGACTGTAAAACTTTGCCAGTTTTAAGAAACCAAGATTTCTGGCGGTTTATTTTTTTAGGCAACTGAATAAATAGTAAGACCTTGGCATGTTTACATTTTGTCACTGGCTTTATAAAACTCCTAGATCCCGTTCACACAAACCTTTCTACAGTTTGATTGATTTTGTAATGTGTACATGGGTGGTTCTGTTTAAGAACCCAGGCCTTTTCTCTAGAAGATAAACAAACCACAGCTGAGCACGGTCAGATTTGTGCTGAGTGACTGCTAAAACTATCTGGCCTGGAGATTGTTTTCTAGTGGAGAATTCAAATCAAGACCCTTGAATTTAAGTCATGCGAATCCTCTACTCGCTTTGACATTAATGAGGCCAGGTTTTATGCTATTTGCCAGTAGAATGATAAGGAAATGCTAAAACGCCTGTAGCAAAGATCTAAGGCTATTTTCAGTCGTCTCCTTTCTCTGTCTAGACTTGTATGTTTAGTCTGTCCGTTGTACAGAATTATAGCCTAATAGTATGTGCCTAGAATGCATTAGCTGCTCTAATGGAGATCAGGGAGTAATGAACGTGTTTTCAGCCCAGCTCCCATCCTTTAACAATAAAGCACACAAATGCATGTTCCATTGCATCCTAGAGGCTGACTTAACCCTCAAGGAACCTGCGATTTCAGAGGGAACTTGATCCTCATGTTTTCTCTCTCAGGTGCGCACACACAGGTACAGGCACCTGCCCACATGCCAACACCGCTCAGCTCACTGTTTCTCATGGCGTCGTCATCTAAGGTTATGGAGGGAATCCCAGTATTAGAAGAAAATGACAAATGGAGAGCGTTATCTGTGTTGAAGTAACCAGACCTCTGTTTAGCATCCCTGGAGGTCAATGCCGCCCGCCTGGGAAGGAGACTCCCATTTTCATGCAAATCACTCGCCTTTCTTACACCTGCCCTCTGCCCTCAGCTTCCCCCGCCTGTGGGCTGCAGTTGGGGGAGGGAGTAGTCAGCAGCCGCTCCTGCCCCAGTGCTCCCATTCATTCCTCCTTCAACTGCCTGGTCGCCCCCCAACTGAATGCCTTTGGAAGGATGAAAGGGCCAAACTTTCCAAAGAGAAGAACGGGAATTTATAGTGTGTGCTACACAAGGCGTAATTCCTGCGAGGTTTACATTTTGCACAACTTTGAAACGTGGGGATTCTTTATATCCAGAGATCCTCACACACCGATGTATTTTTTTCTGATGCAGGTTTGGCCAACAAAAAAGAATAACACGGTGTTTCATTGCCACTCAGGTGCCTTCATTCCTTGGGTTGTTGATGGCTTGTTCAGACCACCCTAGAAATACCTACTCATCTCACTTTTTTTTTTTTTGTGGAGTAAAAAGGATGTTTTACCCTACCAACTGTAATGGCTCTCAAGCTGTTCCTAATGGGCACGGTGGAGCCACTCGGCACAGACACGCATAGGCAGGAAGGTGGCAGAAAATTGGCTGCCTGGGCCCAGTAACCATTTGGGGGGGATGTCAGTAATTTGCCGTTAAATCCATCTAAGTGCATTACAGAACAGCTTCTAACACTGCCAACCCAGGGCAGCTTTTGTCTTCATCGCAGAAACCAAAGAGAGCCCATGGTTTTTGCTAGTACAGGGTTTTTTTGTTTGTGTGTGTGTGTGTGTGTGTTTTTTATAGCACTCAATATCAGCAAACCACCTAGCAAGTACAGTCCCTTTACTCTTTACTGTCCAGTTTTGCATGTTTCTCTCTGGGGCAGTTTGTTCAGCATTTATGAAGGCATGCTAGAAATAATGGTAGAAGAGGAATAAAGCGTAAACTCAGAGATTTCCTTTTTAAAATGTCAAGTACTATTTTTGAGTGCTTATTAATAAGCAAGTAATTGTAAAGGATTAGATTGAAGAATAAGGTGTTCCACTGTTTAGTATTCAATTGGAAAAATTTGATTCACAGCTTTAGGAAACACTGAGTGTTTTCTTAATTTACAAACGTGTGTGTGTGTGTGTGTGTGTGTGTGTGTGTAAGAGAAGAGAGAAGAGAAGAGAGAGATTTAGATTTCCTCAAATTCCTAAAGAAAAGAATGAGAATAGAAATCATAACAAGCATTGCAGTTTGATTGTTCAACCACAGATTTAGTGGTAGTGACAAAGGTTACCCAGGTACCAGCACCCCCACCCTCAGCCGAAACCCAGGACTAATTAAATGCTACCCAGGCAACCATCAAGTTTCCCCAAACATCATACTCCAGGGCTTATGCCTTTGTTTTCTTTGTTGTGACCTTAGGGTAATTTCTATTGCTGGGAAGTCAGATTTCTTTGGTCATAGAAAAATGTGAGAAAGAAAGAAGTGCCCCTGGGGAAGTACACTTAGAAATGACCACAGGGACTGGAGAAACTCACATAAACACAAGACAAAAATAATGTTATTTTAATAAACGATTCCAACTTATGTTAAAGAGCTGCAATTACTCAGGACTGATGAGATAATTGATTACAGAAAACGCAACAGGAGAGTCTACACATGATTTAAAAATAAAAGTAATTAAAAATGAACAAAAAAGACCCGGGGAATGTGGTGCTTTATTGGTTATGACCCCTGTCCGCAGTTGTATCACCCCTCGTTTTAGAGACTCCAACTGAGTTTGCCTCTAAACAGTGCCTTGTGGGTTTAATTGTCTGAGGGGTTAAGATAAAAATGAACACTCCGAGGACTGCCTTGGTATAGAAAGTCCTCTAAACCTGCACTTTGCCAGCCCTTTCTTAATCAAACAGGTTTCACTGGAGGCTGTGTGTAAAGGAGCCCCAGTTGAGCATTTTGGACCAAGTTCACAGATTTCCTTGTTTGCATCACACAGGAATCGCCTGGGGAAGGAACAGCTGGTGCCCCGAGGGGACACACACATCCCTAGTGCACCTGCCCCAAGGACACTGCTCCATACAGTTTGCTTTTGTGTTCCCGAAATGTCAGTCCATGGAAACGTCACATTTGGGGAAGTTCACTTGATAGCACTAAGACTAAAGATGGAGCAAATTCTGCAAGCCACGCCAGCAGCACTCTTGGTGCATGCGGAGCTCCTGAGTCATTTGGAGTAGCTGCTCTCTGCCTTCTGAATGGTCGCCTAGAGGTTTTGATGTTTGTGAAAGACCTGCAAAACAAATGGGGGGGGGGGGGGGAGAAGGAGGAAGAGAAGGAGGAGGAGGAGGAGAAAGAGAAAAGGAAGGCATACCTTATCTTCTAATTCATTTGGTAGGAGATAATCTTTTCACAGTATATGGTATATCTTTTTAGAAGGTGCCCTATTATCAGTCCCAATCTTCCATTAAATATTTATGTAGTAGTTCCTGTAGCAAGACACTGTCTAGTTCCTAGCTCGGCAGGCCATTAGATGTCTAAGTAGTCCTGGCCTGAGAGTTGTTTACAACTGAGCATGGAAATAAGATAACAGAGCAAGTTAGTGTATAATATGTGTCAAATGAGAATTTTGTAGGAGGAGACTTCTGTAAATTCTGTTTGCTCGGGCTATTTTAAAAATGCACATACATAAAAATAGTCACTAGCATCATATTATCGGCACAAATTAAGCACTGGATTCTCTTCGTGACCAAGGAATTTTGGATCCAAACAGAATTAATGATTTCGTAGTTTGGAGCTACATTTTGTGTTAAGCGCTTTAACTTAATTATGAAGAGACTGGCTTGCTATTTTAAGGATTCATGCTCTCTGAAAGCATGTGAGCACAAAACTGCTGAAATGAATGTATAGGCTTGATTTCAAGATTGTCTTCATCTCTGAGTGCTGGAACAGTGTCCATTGGCCGACTCGGAAGACACGTGGGAGAGATTGTGAAAGTGAAAGGTTTTATGGAAATAAATCTGAAGTGATTGTTTCACTGCCCTGAGGCTAGAATGCACACATTGGAGAGCTCTGATTCAGCTGTTCCCGCAGCTTGGGGAGCAGGGAGGGCACTTGTGTTGTGAGCTGCTTCCCAGGCCCCTCCCCTCTCCAGAGTCCTGGAGGCCTGATCTAATGCAACAGCTCGGGGCCCACCAGAGACTCTTGTTGCCCAGGTAGCCCCCTGAAAAGCTGCTAAGAGGCCTTTTCTCTTCTGCAAAATGAAGGGCATAGACTAGATCAGGGTACCTGAAACGTTGTTCTGCTAGCCATTAGTTCTGTAAATCATTAATAGATAGTCAGTGGGAAAGAATTCCATTTGTGAAATAAGTCTGGAACCGCGCATACAAGGTCATATTCTTTGAGGAGTCATAAAGTAGGTAACTGCATATAAATACACTTGTTTAATTTTATATAACAATACATTTTCTTTCTTTTTTTTCTTTTTTTTTTTTTAATATATTTTATTGATTTTTTACTGAGAGGAAGGGAGAGGGACAGAGAGTCAGAAACATCGATGAGAGAGAAACATCGATCAGCTGCCTCCTGCACACTCCCCACTGTGGATGTGCCCGCAACCAAGGCACATGCCCCCGACCGGAATCGAACCTGGGACCCTTGAGTCCGCAGGCCGATGCTCTATCCACTGAGCCAAACCGGTTAGAGCAACAATACATTTTCTTAACCTATTTGACTAGTCACTTCCACTGCCACTTTCTTTAGAACACAGGATGGACTAAATCAGTGGTTCTCAACCTTCCTAATGCCGTGACCCTTTAATACAGTTCCTCATGTTGTGGTGACCCCCAATTTCATTGTTACAAATTGAACATAATTAAAGCATCGTGATTAATCACAAAAACAATATGTAATTATATATGTATTTTCCGATGGTCTTAGGCGACCCCTGTGAAAGGGTCGTTCAACCCCCAAAGGGGTCGAGACCCACAGGTTGAGAACTGCTGGACTAAATGATCTCTGAGTCTCCTCCAGTTTATACAGGATGGGGCAAAAGTAGGTTTACAGTTGTCTGTATGGAAAATAATACAATAATTAATAAATAATAACACAAGAATAAACTGTCTTGCATACTCCCAACTGTAAACTTACTTATGCTCCACTCTGTGTTCTGAGTCCATGAATTTTTACTAACTTGCCTCATCACTGACATGAGAAGGGGACTTGTCCTATTCTCTGTTTAGCTCAAAATGGGTTTTCAACTAGGTTTTACAGTACCAATGAGAGAATTTAGTTTAGAAAATCTGCCTGTTCCGTTTGATAGGGTTATACATTTTGGGGGGACACGCACAGCTTTATGACCCTCAGTCTGATTTCCTGGTTTGGGAGTTCTTGGTTTTTAGCCTTTTCCTTCTGTCTTTACCTTGCAGACAAACCAAACCAGACGAAACTTAACGGTGTTTGTACAATGACAAACACTTGCATGGAAAGTATTTCAAAAGTCAAATTCATGAGTGTTTTATCTACCTAATGCCAAACAGGAAATAGCTGCATTTTTCCCATTATAATTAGAATTTCCACATGGACGTTTGGTGCTGCATGGAGCCTCAGATTAGCTACTTAGTTACAGACCCTTAGAAAGAGGCTGAAGGTGAAATTTCATGGGTTCTGGGGATTGTCTACAGGCTGACTATGTTACAAGTGCCAGGTACAGCATTTGTATGGCTCATTGAGAATGGCCTACATTTTAATAAGCATGATCAGCTGTGCATATCTTGTCGCATGAACACCCAATTATTACAATGTAGTTTAACAAGTGAGAACAGGCAGATCTGAATGCCCTTGGGGAGCAATGCTCACATCACATTATTATTGACAGTGTACAACTTGCACTGATTATCCGGAAGGAAAAGTGATTTTTATGGTAATACATCATATGATTGTTGGGATCTAATACCTTTAAGGTAACAATTTCAATTTGTCCTATCCCCAATTTGATCATATTTGCAAAAAAAATGTTTAATTCAATCACTAAAACATATATGTAATGTTATTTTTACAGCAAACTTAACAGAGTTTTCTAAAAACCAAAATGAAATAATCTATGTACAATAACATTAATGATAGTAGATAGTATCTCTATGGATGAGAAATATGGTGGTCTTGTTCATCAAATAGGGAGTTGCCAATAATTTTCTTGTGGGATTATTATTTTTTTTAAGTTTTAGAATTCAGTGATATAGTCCTTTCTTTTATACAAACACCTTGATTTTATCTAGAATTGACGTAGAATTGCTAAGCCAAATTTATACGTTAGCCCATGTTATATTTAAACTATTGATAGAACACATGCACTTAGAAATCTGTTATTCCTTCTTTCTCCCAAACAGAGGAATATTTTCAAAGGGAGTTTTTACAAAAGAGATATTGCACTCCTTGGGCAAATATTAGCATTTTATTGAAGCACGAGCCAAGACAGATGCACTCACACAAGAGAACACTTTACCACCTACTTGAACCCAAACTCAGAACCATCTAATTTAGTCTTCTTTGGCTGATTGAGGAGAGTCCCCTGTGTCTCAGGTCCTCTTTATGAAGGCCAGTGGTAACAAGACTGTCAGAAAGGGGGCATGCTGATTAGAGACGAGTTCTTACTGCTGAAACAATATGGGCAAACCCTTTATATTGGGTTGGCCAATAGCCATCTCAATTTTATTAATGTGATTGTATTTCTATCTAGGACAATGGCTGTCTCTCACTATTATATTGCTCCCAAAAATGAGTCATTCATTCTATATACTGCAAAAGAACTCAAGACTGCTAAAAAGAAAGAAGGGAAGTGTGGAGAGAATGATGATGATAATCGTCTGGATAGTTAAAAAAAAAATCTGAAGAGTTTGCAAAATATGCATTAGCCCACTTAATTCTTCTGTTGCATATACTACCAGTGCACTCTACTTCTAAGTCCCAATCATTTTCCCATTCTACTTTCTATATCTCTTGCATGTGAAAACATATTTTAAAAAATAGATAATTGTTTTCTCCATGCATTGTCTAGCCTCCTAATGAGCTAATAAACACAGAAAACCAACCAAGTGATAAAAGAAATGAGAATTGAGGTTATCTTGAAAGGCGTATTGCCTGTACTTTAAAATTGTGCAGAATAGCTTTATATCCTAAGAACAGGTTGTATGGCTAAAATTGTGTAGACATTTACATGCACATATATAATTATATGTGTATAAGTGACTTAGCTTTTATATTATTTCAAATACATCTTCCTTATTAAAGAAGCATTAGAAATCCAAGTAAATGTCTGTTGATGAAAAAGGTAATTTTATGTGAGTGTACCTCCTTTCCATTGTTTTCTCACCTGTATCACTCATACCTTTTCCCCAGCTAATGTCATCCATTTCCCTTCTGTTTCTTTTTTCTTCTTCTTCCCCCCTTTTCTAATATGTCCTCTCTATTCTCCAATCACAGCCTTCTTTTCTGCAAATAATGCTGGTTTGGGTTATTTTAAAACATCTAATGATATCGGTGTCTTCTTTTTAAAGAAGTATTATATTATGTATTAGTTATACATATTATACTGTGTCTTATTTTTGTTTTATACATAGAACAGAGACTATTCATAGTCTCTGGAATAACATTTCAGCATATAAATATAAATTAAATAATTTGACAAGTTGACTCACTCCAAGCTTGTCCAGAAATATGATTTCATCATCAGATAGAAATTTCTGTTGCTGGAATCCTTTAGCCAACAAATGGATTTTCTATGCATGGTAGGCA